TTCTGTCGCCACGAAACTGATGTCCGATGCAATTCCCCATTTGACTTGTACTATATCAGAGACCACATGTCTATTATATGGTTTCTGCATACATGTATGTTCCCGTATTATTTCAGATGACTTGCCTTTGCACGTGTTTGTGACGGGTGCCACCGTTGGGGCAACATAAGCTCACGTTTTCGTGAACACCTGGTATCATCACTATTTGATATTAATTCATAAACACATGATCATAATATAGTCGGAATCGTACTATCGACTCTGCTTTATGCAGGGATTGCTGGGGAAGCAGTGTGTGAAATGCTGGGGGCTGCTCAAGGTGGCATCGGTGTTGAATTTGGGGATACGACATTTAGACAAGAAGGAGGCACCTATTGTGCTTCTCTCCCCGCTCATCTCTATCATTGTGTCAGAATTAGCGGATTGGCAAAATCAAAACAATTTAATTTATCAAGATGTTTAACATAAGCATCCGCTTTATCGAAGATGTAATGTATCGATAATGTAGCGATCCTGTGCAGGAGTGGTAACTCTTGGTCGGCCGGTTCTCGGACGGTCTGCAGTGGAACTGAACTGTGTATCGGCCACACAGGCGGCAAATGGAGCTGTGGTGGACGTTGAAGTGGCGTGCAACAGAAGACTGCGATTCCCCTCTTTGGACACGTTCTGTGGCGATGTTCCGATCGGCAGCGCTGAGTCTCGGCATTTTCGAACTTGACAATTGAATGACAAATTATTGGCTTATGCTTGCCTTTTTATAGCCACTACCACGAGTAACGAATGCCATAACTTGCACGTGCATTTTGCTCTACTGTTTTCCTCCACGACATTTATGAACAAGTGTGAAAACAATGCCTTTCAAGTCATTGCAAATGGACAATAGCTGCGTTTTGATGCGTCGAATATCAGGCCACCAACATTTTCCAGTAGCATATATCCAATGTATATACCGGATTTTTTGTGTATTCAGGTTCAATCAAATACATACTACCTGTGCGTTTATTTTTTGAAGAGTGTAAGTCTTCATATATTAACCAACATGTATGGTATTCGCGTTCCCCTTGACGGTAGGTATATATTAATTATGGAAGGCCGTATGGGCTTATTGTATGGAAGCACATGGACAGTATGCATCACTGGTTTGTCTCATCGAAAAATTATATTGCTACGATGTGATTCCCAATTTGAAAAGCAGAAGTGAAACAAAGAAACTAAAGTGTGAAATCAGTAAATGACCTCTTCTCAGATGAGAGCCGTTACTGTAACTCAACAGCAGATGGCAGAGAGAGAGAGAGAGAGAGAGAGAGAGAGAGAGAGAGAGAGAGAGAGAGAGAGAGAGAGAGAGAGAGAGAGAGAGAGAGAGAGAGAGAGAGAGAGAGTCGGGCGACGACGTGGGAAACGTTATTCAATTGATTGTGTTGTTGAGAGAGACTCGTGGGGTGGTCCGAGCATCATGGTGTGGAGTGGAATTGGTCTTGCACAGAGGGTCGGCCCTGTGGTCTTCCAGAACATCGGTCCAGGGCGATGCAGTGGTGTCACAGCAGCTCGGTACATTCATCAAGTCTTGAGACCACACGCCATACCTCATTTGGCCCGGCGCCGCAACCACGAGTTTCAGCATGATAACGCCCGTGCCCACACTGCGAGAGCAACAAGAGACTTCCTCCAGCAGAATGGCATCAGAACCATGCAGAGGCATGCCCTCATTCCCGATTTAAATCCCATTGAGCACCTGTAGGACGAGATTCAAAGACGACTGAATGACGTTCAACCAAGGCTGACAACTGCGTCAGGCGTTCCTCAGAGTGTGGGCTCAAGTGCCTATGGCCTTCATCAACCGACTCATCCATTCCATGTATCGATGTTGCACGGCAGTCACCAATGCACATGGCGGACACACGATATGCTGACTTGTGATGCCATTTTCTCAGAGACTAGTGTTGTGTTTCACTTTAAGAATATTTGACACTTTAATTTCAACCATGATGATCAGTTTTGCCAAGTTTCATCTTTTTAATATGTCTCAAAGTATGGTTACAGTGTTTGGACAAATAAGGTTTCTCATATATCTATCCATGGTGCCGTTTCTTTTGCGGTTCAGTATATGACAATTCGATTAATAAGGAAACGGTCACTGATATATTTCCTTGAGTTTTGATCATTGGGCAAAACACACAAAAATCGGAACTGTTCTGTTTGCGACTAGCTATTTAAGGTAACATTGGTAAAATCTCCTCAGAGACGGAGTGCCATGATGACTGCACCATTACTGTACCAGCATGCTAACTGTCTGTGAGAAAAAGGGCTTTCAATTAACTAGAATACGGTCTTTGGACGCCACACGCAACGCCAATCTTCTTGGCATAATACCTAGGCACTGCTTTGAAGTCGTACTATTTTCAGATCTTTTAACAGCAACATTCAAAGGGGTATTCCCTGTCCGACGTAGATAGCTCAGCGGACTAAAAAATAGGAGTCTACAAAGTAATGTAATACACGCTTGTTTATGTGCCTTGTGTGTGAACATAAAACACTACTTAATCGCCATGCAAAAGGAATCATCTCTGTGGTCAAGAAGATAGAGCGCCTGCTCGGAGACCAGAAGGTCGCGTTATACCAAAGACGTTAAAAGATGGTGCTTGGCATTATGGGGATAAAACAGAGACTGGTCGGTTCGTGGTTAGTTTTAAGTTTCTGAGTACAGTATCCATGTTAAACTGCCATATAGCACTATGAAACCATCATTAGTCCGGACTATTTCAAGCAGCCGCACACACACGCGCATGTATGCCGCCTTATAAGCGCAATAATATTGAACCTGACGTTAAACCCCATTTCATATCGCACATCTATGGCAAATTACAATCGCTATTTATAATGGCGAAAACATTTTCTACCCATTATCTATAAATTCTATGCGCTTTGCTACCATATCACAAACACTCTCTCTCTCTCTCTTTCTCTCTCTCTCTCGCTCTCTCTCGCTCTCTCGCTCTCTCTCTCTCTCTCTCTCTCTCTCTCTCTCTCTCTCTCTCTCTTCTCTCTCACACACACACACACACACACACACCCACACATACCTGCTTGCACATCGCTTTATAGGCGCAATAATCTTTAACACACCGCGAAACCCCATTTCAGCTCATCTCCCTCCGACAGTGGCATATTGACGTTTGCCCGTGATGTTCTTCATTAAACTGGGAAGATACAGATAACATTATTAATGTTTTTACTTTTCTAATGGCAATTATACTTTGGTTGGCCTTCATATCCAACTGTTCACACAGAGATATAATTGGCATTCCTCAGGAAATAATAGGTTTCGAGCAGCCAATTACTGTAATGACAGATCTCACACTTCGATAATGGTACGCCATATGTGTTTCTAGCTGCGGCTCGACATCTGAGATGCGATCGTTCATGGATGTATTCGTTTTGTAACCAGCAAACCATCTTATGTCATTACAGTGCACCCTTTTAAGAATATATTTGTGTATCTTTTCGAGTAGTGTAAACGTTTGATTAAAGCGTTTGATTTAGCCGAGCTTCCGCTGACCTTTTTGAAGCATAGTGACACATTTTCGCTTGTCTTTACGTAAAGTATATATATTTATGGTTTTGTGAATTTTAAATATAAAGCGTCCAAGCCAAAGAACACGTCTCAATCATCCGCCAAAACAGATTCTATTTTGCAAAATCGCCTTGAAAAAAATATGAATTGGTCACTGAAAATCAATGATGACACCGGCATATGGAAGAATGTGGAGGACACATTTGACTTACAGTAAACTACGGTTATAACGAACTCAAAGGGACCACTAATTTTAGTTCGTTATAACCGTAGTTCGTTATAAGCATATACACAGCATATATACAACAAATGGCCGGCACTAAAAATAAGTTCGTTATATCGGTCAGTTCGTTATAAGCGTGTTCGTTATAACCGTAGTTTACTTTATTACCTGATATTCGATCAATTCCTGTTTTGACGTATGACATATTTTATATATGTTCTCAATTTGTTCAAATGGACAAATAGGTTCGCTGACTTGGTTGATGCAAGGTCATCGATCCCAATTGTGTGGATCGATGCTCATGATATCAATCACTAGATTGTCTGGTCCAGACTCGATTATTTACAGACCGCCGCCATATAGCTGGAATATTGCTGAGTGCGGCGTTAAACAACAAACCAACCAACATGACTTTTCTTTGCAGGTGTTTGTGACAAGTGGCATCGATGGGGGTGGCACTTTTTCACTGGCATCATCACTATATCCGTACACAGATGCTTGTGACATTGTTGGAAACGTACAATCGATTAATGATTACGGAAAGGGTTCGTCGCTTCTATCAGATCCGGGGGCACGGGTGGCCCAGTCGTCTAAGGCGCCGCGATTCGCTGTGCAGAGTTGCGTCCCTTGGGCACGCCAGAAACCTATGATTGTGGGTTCGAATCCCGGTTCGCCCCGATAATGTTTCTAGGTTTGTCAGCACCATACCCGTGCTCGTGGGTTTCACCGAAGTGGTACTCGTCTTAGACCTGCATCACTTCGGGCTTTCCTCCCACATTAAGCTGACACGCCGCGATATAACTGGAATACTGTTAAAAGCGGCGTTAAACCCAACTCACTCACTCTATCAGATCCATGACAATACCGTTTTAAAGTTGTGTTGTGTTTTTTCCTAAAAATCAATTGGAGTGATGGAACCACGGAAGATGCGTCAAAAAAGAGAGAAATAATTGCTGCTGTTTATTTTTCTCTATGATGCTCAAGCTGAAGCTTCGATCAAGATAACCAAATCATCCTGAAACAGGTGTGCATTTCAAGTGCGATAACGTTTACTGTTTCCTGGTCGTGCCTCGCGCCTACGTATATACCGTTAGCCCACTAGACTGCACTGTATTCTCGGGTGTCGCCTAAGAATGTCGCTGTGAACATTATAGACCTTTCGTGGACACAACCACTCACCGCAAGGCTGACGATATCACCAGCCACTCCAGTATTGATCGGACAGGTCACGTGGTCGGGCTCATTCAGATTAACTCTACTATGAATCTGTTGTCAGTTAGAGGTACGACTGAAGGTATTCATTGATGGAAGTTATCTCCCGAACATAAGCCGGAATAAGGTAAGTGCACGTTTATTGGCGTCTTCGCGTATCAGATATATAAAAACTAGGAACTGAAATGAATTAATTTGGTAAGTTGTTGTTATTGGACCTCTATTTGTATTAGACATGATAAAACGCAGTTTTTTTTCCTTCTCAGTACTAATTGTAATTAAACAAAACGTTATAGTGCAACCTTTATCACGTTAAGGATTTGCTTTAAGAATGATAAGGATGCTTTTTCTGACTTTTTTAGCTGTTTCATACTCCAAACTCTGTTTCTTAACATGGTCTCTCCATGGTCCATGATATTAGGCGGATCCAGAGGTTGGTCTGGTCCAGTTTGAAAATCAGATGAAGTATGTTCTCGGCAGTAAACGTATCGGAGAGAGGTTGGGATATTTCTTTTGGGACCCCTCCCATTTGAAACTGCTGGATCCGCCCTTGGAAATTCAGTTCTAGTATATGTCTTCGGTTCTAGTTGATGACTTCAGTCAAATCCAGTTAAGTTAAGGTTTTACATTCCTTTCATATTACGCTTTTCCTCAAATCCTGTTCCTTAAAGAGGGACAGTGATTCATGACCCCTGAGCCATTCCACTCGAGGTCGAAGCCTTGTACTTAGACATCAGACAAACCGAGACACCATGCTGATAATATACTTCTTATGATTTACATCTATAGTAGTCGGGGTCGTATAATGGACTTCTGACTTACTTCTAAATATGGAAGTGGTTCCGGTAATTTCATTCTTAAGTAGATTTTGGATCGAGTTTGCTGCGACTATCAAATAGCTCTAGACTTTGTCCTTTCAATAACTGGAACTATATGCACTGTTATTGTAAATCTGACCGCCATTTACGTGTCTTATGTACCTGTGACATCCTGATGTCAAACGTTATCCTCAAGTAGGGGTACAGATAGACAGTGACCTTTGGTGCCGCAAAATTTTGTACAGAGTTACGTCCCTTAGCAAAGTCAAGATCCGCTGATATGTGTTAAAAATCCCATTTGGGCTTTGATGTTTAACTGAACTACTGTTCTCTTGACAAGTATCTCTGTCTCAGTGTTTTGTCACCATATACTACTAAATGATGAGCTATCTGCTCATATATAATATTCATCACCTGGTAACGACTTCTGGTTTATTGCATACAGCGACGTTTCGACGATTCTTACAGCGTTATCAAGCTAGAGTGACTGCAACCAAGTGAAGTGTGGTATATATGGGGATATTTCATGTGTCGGGTGAAATATCATGTTTCTCTTATCTCTTATCTCGTGACTCGACACATGAATTATCTTATTTGTTATATACCTTTTTTTCAGTTATCTACCGGGTGCTGTTGTACAAAGCGATCTTAGCGCTAAGGTGATCGTAACTCTCACACCTTAACATATACTACAACAGTCGTAGTAATAAGGTTGTCTTGTTCAACGGTAGCCGGAAAATTATGTTTTTTCATCACAAATGTAAGACCTTGATAGGTAAAATATCCCTACCTAAATAGCAGGGACGTTTCACCACCCCTCGTAAGTGCGACTTCAAAAGTAGTTCCGAGTTTGCAAAATCTTAAATAATATACAACAAAGTTATAAACAATATTTGAGGTCACTCCAATTCTCTATCAAACGTTTGGATATGATTATATACAAAATCTGCTTCAACAGAAAATATTCTTGAAAACTACGAGACCACTATACGCTGGTCAAGTAACAAAAATGGCGCTTTGCGAAACAAACAGTGACGATTAACGAGTTGAATGGCAAGTATACAGTTTATAACGAAACATTTTCAAGAGGCAAGAAGCGATATTTTCACCATAAATGACCATCTGTCATTATTTTGCCTTAATGTTAAAAGGAAATCAACAGTGTGTGTACGTCCCAGACACTTACGATAACGGGAAATTCATGTATGACAACAGTTCCGTCAAAGTGTTATGTTCACTGAAGTCAAATATTAAGTGTTATGTTCACTGAAGTCAAATATTAAGTGTTATGTTCACTGAAGTCAAATATTAAGTGTTACGTATGTTCACTGAAGTCAAATATTAAGTGTTATGTACACTGACGTCAAATATTAAGTGTTATGTTCACTGAAGTCAAATATTAAGTATTACTTATGTTCACTGAAGTCAAATATTAAGTGTTATGTTCACTGAAGTCAAATATTAAGTGTTATGTTCACTGAAGTTAAATATTAAGTGTTATGTTCACTGAAGTCAAATATTAAGTGTTATGTTCACTGAAGTCAAATATTAAGTGTTATGTACACTGACGTCAAATATTAAGTGTTATGTTCACTGAAGTCAAATATTAGGTGTTATGTTCACTGAAATCAAATATTAAGTGTTATGTTCACTGAAGTCAAATATTAAGTGCTATGTACACTGAAGTCAAATATTAAGTGTGATGTACACTGACGTCAAATATTAAGTGTTATGTTCACTGAAGTCAAATATTAAGTGTTATGTTTACTACTGTCAAATATTAAATGTTATTTACACTGACGTCAAATATTAAGTGACTGTTATGTTCACTGAAGTCAAATATTAAGTGCTATGTACACTGAAGTCAAATATTAAGTGTTATGTTCACTGAAGTCAAATATTAAGTGCTATGTTCACTGCAAAGAAAATACCACTTTTCTCTCTCTCAGAAATAACACCCAGGTAATGAGGCCAGATGTACAGTAAGGATAACAAATAACACACAGGTTACGAAGCCAGATGTACAGTAAGGATAACATATAACACACAGGTAACGAAGTCAGATGTACAGTAAGGATGAGGATTGATAAATTGAGACAAGTTGATTGGGTGCTAATAAAGAAAGGTCTATTGCTTGATCTTCATAGACAGACGGGAAGTAACATCCTTGATCTCTGTTGATCAGAGGTTTATGACAGCGGATTTTAGTGAAGTTCTGATGTCTGATTGAGGGGATTTTGACGGTCAAACTGAATTTGCTGGAATGGTGACTTTTTATTGTGGCCTGTGAGGGCTGATTTGCTGTCTGCTGGGGTCGGTTTGGGTTTGGTCTGAAGTGTAGTGGAGATGGTACTCTTGACGAGCTTGGGAATGATTATGGAAATGGCTTTGACACTCTTATTTATATGTATACACAGTTTCAAACGCTTGCACACGGCATATTCTTATACCAAATAATTTCAAGATACCGTTGGTCGTCACTGCACAACCATTGTGTGTAATTCAACTATCATCTTTAAGGCAAGTTAACCAACTGATATATACCTGACACATTGCATAATTTTTAATACAACCACTCAGTTGGTCTGACTCAGAGTGACGAGGATGTTGTCCTATTCATCACTATGTTGCAGTGACAAGAGACACGACTGAGACTCCACCCTAGACTCATGTCCTACCTGAATCCTATTGATTTCCGCAATTTGTTTGTTTGTTCCGCCATTTTGTAGGCAGTGACCCGCTTCAAGATTCAAGATCACATTTTGGGTTCAATTTTAGCATTTGTCCTTTAATTGGCCCCTGTCCACGTCAACTTCCTATGTACACGAGGAATTATGTCCCGGACAAGGCACCGTAATTCACAGTGGCCCAGGACAATTATGTCCAGGATCACTGCTCATGACAATCAATCCCGAAGAGAAACCATAATGGGATTAGGATTCTAAGTCCTGTTTATGTCGTACGTTCCAGAACTCAGTGTCCGGTGTCCTTATATTGAGAGATTATATGCCTTACATATTACGTATTAATCTCCACAAAAGATCCATTCATATTTTATAGAACAAATGTGAAATTTCATCCATTACAACATTTGTACTGTAGGCCATGAGGCCCATTATACAGAAATAAATAAATAAATAATAATTAATCTCCACAGCTATTTGCCCTTTATGCCAAGTTGAATCTGTTTCCGCAGAATCTAGGATAGTTCATCTTTGGCACTGACAATTTACAGAGTGACTTATAGACGTTTAGGTACTCGTTTGTCATAGGAACTTTTGCAACTATTAATTCTTTTACATATAATGCATATTAATATGTCGAAAGACGTTTTGCAGTGTTTGTAACTTAGTACACATACACAGAGGCTGGCCCCAAGCCAAGTAATAACACCCTAGTCATAAAAAGTGGCTAGGCAAACGATGTACAACGTAATATTAATTGTATTTGGTAAATAAATTATATAAAAGATCAACTTCAGAGAACAGCAAGTCTCGATTATCCGACGAAACAGATTCCATTGGGCTCAAAAGACAAAACAACTGTGAAATTTATATGAATGGATGACAAAAAATGACACCAGGTGTTCGCGAAAAGGGTAAACATGTCGTCCTTCCATACCGCTTGCACCACAACTCACACAATTTGCGAAAAAAGTACGTGTTTGTTGAATGCATATTTCGGGGGCATGACCTTTTGGGTTTTAGATTTGACTTTGATCCGTAATGAGATATAGAAAAAACACATTTTCTCCATTGTCTTGTCTCGACCAAAGTGTTTATCTGCAAATACTAATTGTTCCATGTTTTGCTTTAATTACCGTAACAACATAAGTAATTCACAACGAACTCAGGGAAATTTACATGTTTTGATTACTTGTTTATAATTCATTAACGCGTTCCCGAAATAAACCTTCAATCGTTCACAAACCAATTTTCATAAAGAAATACACAAGTGTAATGTTGAATATCGATCATAAATGGTAGAAGCATCTGGTGTCAAATTCTCGTTTCAACTGATGCAATATGCATGAAGTATATGACGGATGGAGTTTACGATCTCACTTGAACTATTGTATGCTATGGAAACGTAGTATCATCTACGTAGATGATAAAATAATAATTAGTTTGTGGCACAAATACGTTTCCATACTATGCTGATATACATTAACGATTGATCCTGAAACGTACATCATCGCTGGAGATGAAGTAGACTGGCAGTAAAAGAATCTAAATTAGGCTATCAACATGAGGCTATCAATTTCATATGCAATAACGTTTTGTTTCGTTTTGTTTATTTTCACAACATC